GACAGGCAGCGGTGGCAAAAACACCCGGCGGGTTGGATAAATGTCCTTGGTGGGCAGCATGTGGCCTGCGGGCCGTAGTTTGAGGACGCCTGTGTTAGAGTAATCTAGGGATGATGGCCCAGGCAGGGTGAGATCAACATGCCATAATTTCAGGTCCACCAGCCTCAGTTACACTCATTTCATATAATGTAGTCTTGTTAAGGGTACTTTTTGGGAAGGCAGATAGGGTTCTAGTAACCCAGTTCCCATTCTCTCAGAGCTGTCACGTGTTGTGAGGTGACCAGCGCACACTTCCAGGCCAACGTGATAAGAGTCACTGAGGTCGTTGGCGAATCACTGTTGAAAGGCCTTCTATCTCATTTTTCACATTTTTCTGCAATGCAGATTTTGAAAGGCAGTATCCTGTTGGCAGTGTGAAGTGGAAGCTTGGATACATTAAGTTTTTTTGTAGTTACGCTGCAAATTTTACACAACATAAATTGCTTGCTTTGCTATTTTCTATTCTAAGTCATAACTACAAGTACCATGAAATGACCTTGTTGTGGCTACAGTGGTGCAGCACTGTAATTGACAGAAAAGTTCCTGGATATTAAACTAATTCCTTTTCATCGCTTATGCTGATAACAAACGTGATTTTGGAGGAATGAATGTACCCGAAACATGGACTTTCTCATTTCTGTAATTCTACTCCAAATTCGATTTGTTCAAGGATATAACTTTACCTGATTTTATCTTTTTGACTTTCTGCCTAGAAATGCCATAGCAGCTGGAAATTGTCAGAGATTATTGCTCTGAAAATCAGAAATAGCCAGATCTTTGTAATTAGAAATATGAGCCACAGAAATAATGGGACTTTCTTTTTAAGAACACAGTATGTTAGGTGCTTAACGTATGTTTCATCGTCACCTAGTGTATGGTAGAGGTGAATCTCTTGTAGAGATGAATCCATGCAGATGACAAAGATTATGACCCTGCAACCTGAATTAATTCTATTTTTTTAATTCTAGTAATTTTTTGTGGTGGTTTACTTTAACCCCAGAGTCTCATAGAAACTGATATTGGATTTTAATAAACTGCAATGTCTCAGATCTCTCTTGCTCAAGCTTGCCTGGGAATTCCATCCAATCTTTATTTGAGGGGGAGTTGAAGGCATTTCAGCAAAGTAAACAACTGAATGATGTGTCAGCCAAAACCTGAAATGTTTGTTTTAGAAGCATTTTTGAATATAATAAAGCCTATCAAAATAACAAAAGTTTAATTAGAAGGACCTTAAGATACATTGCAAAAGAGGATTCTTTTGTATGTGTCTTGAGAAGTCTGGAACTATAATAAATGCTGATGCAAGATGGCTTAATAGAAACCTCTAGCAATCATCCCTCTGCATGAACACCAAGTTCAATAACTACCCAAGCAATGCAAGAATTCAAAATCAGTGATCGGGATTTTAACATTGTATCAGGGAACAAGGCACTGAAGAGGGCAGGAAGGACAATTTTGCACGCATATGCCACCTTCCCCACCCCGGCAGTGTCCTGTCGGTGTGCCAAGTACAGAGAGACGCTGTGTGCCCAGGGGAGGGAGAGAGAAGAGCTTGCGGGGCTTTGCACTGAAACTCAGGGCCGCCCTGGCACAGGGGAACACAGCACAGGGCAGAGTTCTGGCGGTGCCCATAGAGGAAGCATCTAGACCTGCCCAGCCAGAGGGAAATCCTGTGTCCTGAAACCCGAGTTCTGGCTGGCCCCACCACCCACTGACAAAAAGCAGCCAGGGCCTGGACTAAATGCACATGGCAGTAGGCCACAAAGGTTGCAGCCCCTGGGCAACTCTTGCAGCTGTGCTGGCTCTGAGACAGTGGACTTGGGGTGCACATGACCCACTGAGACACCAGCAGCTGGGGCCGAGCCAGAGCCTGTGTCGCCCCTCCCCCAACTCCAGGCAGCTCCGGGAGAGTCTTCCTCCACTTGGGGAAGGAAAGGGAATTTAATTAAAATTAAATTAATTAAAATTAAAATAAAATTTTAATAATATTAAAATATATAATATATATTTTATTTAACCTAGTATATCTAAAATATCATTGCAAAGTATAATTAATATAAAAAGTATTCTTACTATTTAAAGAGACAATATATTTAGTATTCTTTATTCATAATAAGTCTTTGAAATCCTGTGTGTACTTTATATACTTTTAGCACTTCTCAGTTTGGACTAACCATATTTCAAGTGCTAGGCTAGTATACTAGATAGTTACAGTATAGCTCTAGGTAACTTGTGAAATTCCATCCCAAAGATATATGCAACAATTCAGCAGCACTTTCAAAGATGTATCCACAATTATTCTTGCTAGAAAGGTTTTAAATCGCTTGGGGTTTTAATTTAAATACCTGAATATATTGTTAATAAGGCATATTTAATTTTTTTTTTTTTGAGATAGGGTCTTGCTTTGTTTCCTGGGCTAAAGTGCAGTGACATCATCATAGCTCACTACAGCCTCAAACTTCTGGGCTCAAGCAATCCTCCTGCCTTGGTCTCCCAAGTATCTGGGACTACAGGTGCAAACCCAGCTAATTTTTTCCTTTTTTTGTAGTGATGGGATTTCCCTATGTTGCCCAGGCTGGTCTTGAACTCCTGGCCTCAAGCAGTCCTCTTACCTTGGCCTCCCAAAGTGCTGGGATTACAAGTGTGAGCCACCATGCCTGGCCAAATAATTATATTGTTCTAGTTAGTACACAGAAAGTGGAAGTGAGAATTATTTAAATGCTTATTCTCCATGATTATTACTTTTCATAGTTTCCCAATCCTTAACTGTACTTAAATTTTGAGTGGAACCGATGAGCATATTCTCTAGGCATAATATATAAAAGATATATGATGGTTTAATATTGAAAATGAAGAGTCTAAGATCATAAAAAATTATTTATATTATAGACCAATAGTAGACGGCTGCATAAGCCAAATCATCTTTGTTGCATCGTTTAGTTTTTTTGAGCTGACATAGTTAGAAAATTATATATACACGATGGTCAGAACTCTGTTTAGGGCTATTAGAATATTCACACATCTCATAAACTCCAGTGATTTTTTAGGATTAAATAGCAGGTTACATTTTAAATAGACACAGTCACTAGAAAATTTCAAGCTTTTTGAATACCTGCAAACTTCGGTAAAAAAAAAACCGAGGTGAGAGTTGTTATATGTTTGCTTTTACCCTCCAACAGTCAGAGGCCAGCAGAACATCGATGGAGAGCTGATGAAATCATGATTAGAGTTTTGGCAGGTAAAAGAAAAGTAGGACTGAAAGTTTTTGCATAGGAGTGATTGTGTTGTGGACGGTGGAATTCAAGTCGGGTAAGAAGGAAAGAGTGAAATTGAAATGAAAAACTAGTGGGGTCAGAGGATTGAAGTCCAGCGGGGGTGAAGGATTGTAAAGCTGTAAAGGTAGAAGGTAATAGACAAGGCGTGAGATGCTTGAAATCAAGATTTCATAAGTGTGTAGTATTTGATGAATGCAAGTTCTAAGTCTATTAATAACATTGCAGGTGGGTGGAGATAAAGTGGAGAATGCACCCATTTTGGATGGGTAGTCAGGAAATTAAAAGGGAAAGGTATTGGGAATTAAGTTATTAAGAATGTTATAATCAGTGGAAGAGGGAAGACAGTGAGCACGGTGCTAGTCTTCAGTGAGAGAGAGGAAGTAGCCAGGAGATGGACCAGGTCATGTATTATAGGTCAGTGGCTCTCAACTGGGGACATTTTGCTCCAAAGGGGACATGTGGCAATGCCAGGAGACATTTTTGGTTATCACAACTGGGGGTGGAAGGGGTTTGTAATAGTCACATCTAGTGAATAGGGGCCAGGGATGCTTCTAAACACCCTATAATGTGTAGGACAGCCCCTTACAACAAAGAGCTGTCTGGCTCAAAATGTCAGTAGTGCTCAGGTTGAGAAACCCTGTTATATTAATAGGTGGATGTAGCAGAATCTAAGCATGTTGGTTGAAAAATAGGCTGAGAACTATCATCTAGTAAACACTGTGTTTCTATTTTAATTGTATAGGATAGTTTCTCGTGGAGGAAAGAATATCTACATTAAAAATATACATTCATTCATTTACTAAATCAAACATATGTGGCATTCCTGCTTAATGGGCATCATAATGGTAGGTGTTTAAGATTCATCAGTGAGCCTAAGAGATAAAGACCCTGACCTGGAATACCTTTTATTCCAGCAGAGGGAAGAGAGAGAATAACAAATGTAATAAATAGTAAATTAGACAGTTTGTTAGAAAGTGGTGCTGAAAAAAAAAAAAAAGGAAAAGTAGAGCAGATTGAGGATACTGGGAGGGCTGGGGATGGGAGGATAGAGAGAAGTGGGTTGTGATTTTAAACACAAGGTGTCAAAGTAGGCTTCACCGAGGTGACATCTGAGCAAGGTTTAAAAGAGGTGAAAGAATACAATGAATAAGTGTCAATGTGAGAATATAGTTTGGGTTTGCGTTTGGTTCACGGGAAGGGGAACCATTGAGTCTTCTGCTAGGAATAAAGTAGCTGCCACTAAGCGCTTTGAGGGGTACAAAGGTCAGACCTGGTTCCTCTCCTCCTGGAGCTTCATGATGAGCTAACACTCTTGGAAATGACAGGAAAATGAAGATAGCAAATGCAGGGCAGTCATTTTGCCCAGACTATTGTTCCTGTCTTGATCCTTTTTCATTTGGCGGGGAAATGACAGGTTAATGATCAGCCTTTATTTTCCAGTCATCTACCACACGTGCTCCTTCTTGGAAAATAGAGTGAATTGGTAACCTAGGTTACGCAGAGAAATGAATGAAGACAAGAGGTGATGATGATGAGTTTCAAGTAGAGGACTGGTGCGGTGGGTCAGAGACATGGAAATTAAGGTTATGTTTGCAAAGGCTTACAACATCTCCAATCTTTCCTGCTGAAAATTGCCACGTTGCGGTATGCGAAACGAGTCTCTCATTAGCTCTCCCTGCCTCTTAGGTACGGTAACAGCACTAAGAACTACGCTGTTCGGGTTGGGGATTATCATACTCTGGTGCCGGAAGAGTTTGAAGAAGAAATTGGAATTCACCAGATCGTGATTCACCGGGAGTATCGGCCGGACAGCAGCGACTATGACATTGCCCTGGTTAGGTTACAAGGACCAGAAGAGCACTGTGTCAGATTCAGCAGCCACGTTCTGCCAGCCTGTTTACCACTCAGGAGAGAGCGGCCACAGAAAACGGCCTCCAACTGCTACATAACAGGATGGGGAGACACAGGTAATATAGATAATACAAAGGAACAAATGAAGGAAGCTGGGCCCCTCCTATGTCTGGTATTACCCGTATATGTGGGTGTGCACTGGGTACTAAGATCTTAAATGGGTTTAAGCTTAGTTGTCTGGAGACTCTGCCAAGTGTGAAATCCAAGCCTGTAATCTGGATTCACACCCTGAGGGTATTGTTGGTTCCAATTAGAACTGTAGCACACTCATGACTGTAATCACAGCACTTTGGGAGGCTGAGTCTGGAGGAGTGCTTGAGGCTAGGAGTTAGAAGTTGGAGACCAGCCTGGGCCATATATGGAGACCACATTTCCACAAAAAGAAAAAAAATTAGCCAAGTGTGGTGGCGCACCAGTAGTCCCAGCTACTCGGGAGGCTGAGGCAGGAAGATCTTTTGAGAGTTCAAGACAGCATTAAGCTAGGAGTGCACCACTGCACTCCAGCCTGGGTGACAGAGCGAGAATTTCTCTCTTAAAAACAGAAAGAAAATTAAAAGAAATAAATGTAGCACAGACTGAGAGAACTCAGTTAACTGTGGAGTTTAGGGGTAGAGAATTGTCTATTAACTTTTAGTTCCCCAATTTAGTGAGGGGGATAAGGGAAGAGATTTTAAGACCCTACTCCGAGACTTGGGCTTGGCAGTCTATGTTTAATTTAATTATTTTTTAGTCTATACTTTAAAAAGCTTTTCCACGTGACTTGATGTAGCTGCCCAGCACAGGACTTTGGTGTTTGATGGTTTGTTTCTTTGCAGTGGAGACCTTTGTCAAATTAAATCTTACAGAGAATTCCTGTAGAACAAAGGCAGACCTGCTGAGGTTGAAGTGAAGCTCTTTTCTCCTTCCCTCCTCCCTTCCCATTCTTTCCACGCAGGGGTGGGGAACCTGCAGCCTTCTGATTTCAAGATTGTTCTTTTTTAAGCACCAAAGGAGGCTAGAAAAGCTTCATCTTTCTGTGCTGCACCCCTTTTCATAAAAGGCTTTGTTCAGTAAAATTTGGATTTAGTCACAAGGCTGCACTTAAGGACCTACAAGGCCACATGTGGCCTTAAGGCCTTGGCTTCCCCACCCTGCCTGGAGGCTTTCTCTGCAGTATCCTGCTGTACTTGCTATAAATCAACTTGTACAGGCTGGTGCTTGCTCAGCATGGGTCTTGAAACAGACCCGGGAGTCTCGCCTGTGTTATGCACTCAGTGCACAAATGAGTGTCGAATAAGGAGAAATAATAGGTTGGTTGCCCTCCATTAAAAATAATTACACAGATAACTGTATTCTTGAGGGGTGTCAAACAAGTATGTTTCTACTGGTGATAATTTCAGTGAGGTTTTATTTAGTAAATATAAATATATTTCCGTGTTTTATTCCAAACTAAAGCTGGACTTCAGACTTAACACTATTTCATAGCAGCAAAATGTAGAACATCTGTAGCAGATATATAATACTAAAAAAATTGGAACCTATCCTGAGTTAAACTGGAAAAAAAATTTAAAAAGGAAACACTCCTCAAATACAATAATAAACTAAAATCAGGTTAGGATGAATGCCTTCTTGGTATACCATGTTGATCCATGAGGTACATCTAGTCTCTGAGAAGGCTAAAGTCTACTATTAGAATTATGGTTACTTCATAAGGGAGGGTGCAGTCATCTTCCTTGGGACATCACACCTGAGTTAATAGAAATGATCAAGAAAGTACATCTTATATAATGTACTTCATTATGGATTACTTATTTCAATTTAGTAAATAGGATCAGAGAGTAACGGTGGGATGCTTTAGCCACTGAACAAGGAATGAATGGCTTACCAGCAAATAGAGTACACTGATACCAGGTGGTAAAACTTAAGCTTGTATCGGAAAGTCTGTGCAATGTTTTATTTCTAAATTACTCTTACAATGCCATGGTCCTATTTAGGACAGTTATTGCTACCTTATGTGTTTACATATAATTGCCATTTATTAGTCCTTTAATGCAATGAAGTAGATGAATCTCACATGACTAGATGTGATATGCAAAACTAGTAGCATGCATTCTCAGCTTTTTAACATACAGAATTCAAACAGTAAAGCCTGCACAAATGTGCTTTCTTTAGATTACCTTTATGTTTCTAATGTTACTCATTAGTCCTTGAAAGATTCAGTACTGAGAAACAAATTAGTAGGGGTAAAAGTGTCAACATTCAAAAAGGGCAGCTAACGACATATGCCATTTACAGTTATCACCCACTTAAACTACACTGATGCCACAGTAGATATGTTAAGACTTTTAAGCGTTCATTAAAGTGTGAAATGTTGTGATCATTAGCTGGAATCCCGTTGACTAATTCAGATATTTGGTCTGAGTAGGACGGGCCTATTCAAGGACACTACAACAAGCAGCCATCCCCTTGCTTCCTAAGAGGTTCTGTGAAGAACGTTATAAGGGTCGGTTTACAGGGAGAATGCTCTGTGCTGGAAACCTCCATGAACAGAGACGCGTGGACAGCTGCCAGGGAGACAGCGGGGGACCACTCATGTGTGAACGGCCTGGCGCAAGCTGGGTGGTGTATGGAGTGACCTCCTGGGGACACGGCTGTGGAGTTAAGGATTCCCCTGGTGTTTACACCAAAGTTTCAGCCTTTGTCCCTTGGATAAAAAGTGTCACCAAACTGTAATTCTTGGAAACCTCAAGACGGAATAGTATTTAAAGAAACCGATGGCAGGAACTTTAACCTCCACTGTTAGCAGTCAGCCTGAGATGACAACTAATGGGGATTGAATCCACGTTTCTGCTTTACGTTGTGGTTTAAATTGTGTACCTTTTGCTGCTTTTGACAATTTGTGATGTGAACATTTTTGATTAGATACCTCCGTGTAATACCTTAATTAGGATTGTTCTCTACCCAAATTTCACTGGAAACTAATCTTACTCTCATTTGAGCCATATTTATCTATATGCCTATATCTCAGCATTCTCCAGGGATTATTCTTTATTGATTTTGCAATTAAGGCTGTTTTTACATTTATCTGGATTAAGAACTCCATATAATTCAATCACTATGGTGTATGAATTTATAATAAGTGCCCACATTTGACATAAAAAATACCCTTCACTACATTCAAGAGTGGCATTATTTCCTTTTTTATGCTTAGGTCTTTTCAAAAGACTTAACAAGAAATCTTCACATAATCATTATCTCTGTAGCCTGTGTCAAATAAGGAAATCAAGGGCCAAAAAGGTTAAAAACTTCCAGAATAGGATCATTAAGCCACAAGGACATCTGTCACAATACATTTCCAAATGAAATGATCCAATTGGTATTTGGAAACAAGTATCCTTGTTAAGTACCAAGCACTACAGAAACCATTGAGTAGCCTAGGCAACACAGCAAGACCCCCCCCCCAAATTATGTTCTAGGTACTGTGTATAAGCTACTAGCCAAATTTGAAAGGATTTCTGGCAACCTGAAAACTGCTAGTTGGATATGCAACCTAATTTGCCCAACATGTTAACGTATCTAATCAATATCTAATCATATCTGATCAATGTTGATGTTAAAATCAATATTTTAACAACCACTTCAGATTTAACTTAGTGGAGAATAAGAAATGTTGGCCGGGCGTGGTGGCTCACGCCTGTAATCCTAGCACTCTGGGAGGCCGAGGCGGGCGGATTGCTCGAGCTCAGGAGTTCGAAATTAGCCTGAGCAAGAGCGAGACCCCATCTCTACTATAAATAGAAAGAAATTAATTGGCCAACTGATATATATATAAAAAATTAGCCGGGCATGGTGGCGCATGCCTGTAGTCCCAGCTACTCGGGAGGCTGAGGCAGGAGGATGGCTTGAGTCCAGGAGTTTGAGGTTGCTGTGAGCTAGTCTGACGCCATGGCACTCACTCTAGCCTAGGCAACAAAGCGAGACTCTGTCTCAAAAAAAAAAAAAAAAAAAAAGAAATGTTAACTCTTCCATCTTCCTTAACATCATCCATGGACAATGATGGAAGAGTGCCACCTACTGAAACTTTCCTGTAATTGGCTCATACCTGTAGGTTTTCCAAAAATAACCGGAAATATTAGGAACTAAAAACTCATTAGTACAAAGGCTCTCCTGGCCTATATATTTGAGAAAGTTTTAAAATAACTGTTTCAATCCACTTAATGCATATGCCAGGCACCGCATTAGGTGGCCATACACCTCACTATAAAAGGCCAGTAAGATTTCATAGTAGCAGCAGCCCTAGTTATCAAACAGGGAAACAGGCTTAGATCAAGGTGAGGCAGGCAGCTAGAGATGGGTTTTAAGAGTCCTAATGGTGACAACAGATTATTTCCTCATGTCTCTCACCTAGTGGTGGGAGATAGCTGCCGTGTACCTCTACTCTACAGGACACTCTTGGTAGCAATGCAAAATCCTCTCACATATGAAATGCACACTGGAGGTAATACTTCCAGACATGAGAATTATTGCTAATGTCATGAATCCTTCCCCAAACTCCTAGTATAAAAACAAGCGAAGTTAGCATGAAATTTAGGATGGTTATAAATAATCCTCTTAAATAGCTGTCACAAGTAACTTTACCATTGTCCCTTCTGCATCAAATCATGCCTTTTGTAAATCTCCTTTGTAAAAACTGGTGCAAAACTAAGGTGCTTACAGTTCTGCTTTGCAGATTTGTGATGCTGTGTCAGGCAGAGCAGCATTAAAATTTTTCTAAAAAGCTCATGATTTTGATAAACTTTTTAAGCATTTAGGTGATAAAGCTACATCTGGTGAGCACTTGCACAAGGGCTTGGGAAAAATGTGCAATATTGGTGTGAAAAATCTCTACTGAAACTTCCTCACAGGCTGCCCTTGTAATTTAATTAGTGCTGGTGCAAGCCAACCTGAGGGGCAGTAAATGGGCAGCCCACAACTTGCTCAATCCCTGAAGTTGAATATACGATTCATGTAACATGCTTTTATTATAGCCAATTTTCTTGTGTGACTTTTAAAAGATAAAATTTTCAGTGCACATTTGTGTAAATAAAGTGTATAACTTTCCACTTTGTATAGTTGCCTTAATCTTTTGTGTGGTGTCCGCTCCCTCCCTTGGGGTTAACCTGGTGATTATGAAAATTACAAGTTTTTCCCCAAATGCTGTTTTAACCAAAGAACAGCATTCACTTGCACAGAGCTCTTTAACAGTACTAGGAGGTATTTTGTTTGCTATTTTTAATTACATTTCCGCCTATTAAAAAAACATTGAGTTTCCACATGAATCAAGCATTTTATTTAATTATCAAGGAACCCCCTCTAAAAAACTCAGGCCTATATTTAAAGTTGGTGCCCCGGTAGTTTCCAGAGCATTACTGGAAACACCTTTTCCTCCAAGTACGATTAAGAAGTTTTGGTAATCCACTGCAGGATACTGCTGTAAGACTTCGCTCACGATCACTTTGGATTTGATACCTGCAAGAGAAAAAGCCAGCATTATAAACCTCAGGTCTGTGTACTTACCTTATTGTTCTAAGATTTCAACAGCAAAGTCAGTTGTTTTTCAAATTACAAAACGCCAGCAAAACGGGCCAAGGTTAGCTTTCCAATGTCTTAGTGCTAAGGGGTTTCAAATGAGGACTGAACTGATTTTTTTTTTTGCTAAAAACTCCTTCCTAGGGAGGCCAGCTGGGTTAGGCTGACAAATGGTAAATTCCCACTAAGCGGCTTTGTTAACCAAATAAAGTGGTGATTTACCTCCCAACCTGATTCCAGTATGGCATTAACATCACCTAAAAGATAAGAAGCCCCAGTCTTAACTCAAGCATCCTAGCAGATGCCTACTCTTAAATTTAAAGCATCTTAAAACATCCTACCAGGCGCCTATTATAAATTTAAAATGTCCTACTGTCTGGACCTCCCAGAGTGCCCACAACCTTATCTTAAAATAAGCATATCCTTTCTGGTCTTCTAGAAAGTCTAACTCTCTCAGCCAATTGCCAGCCAAAGAATCTTTAAGCCCACCTATAAGCCCCCGCTTCGAGATGTCCCACCTTTTTGGGCTAAACCAATGTATGCCTCTCATGTATTGATTTGTGTCCTTGCCTGTAACCTTTGTCTCTCTGAAAATGTATAAAACTGAACTGTAACCCAGCCACAGCGAGCCCACTTGCTCAAGGCTTCTTGAGAGTGGCTCTGGGTCATGGTCCTCAAATATGGCTCAGAATAAACATCTTTCGAATATTTCAGGGCTTGGATTTTTCCGTCCACACAAACTAACTCGGGAGTATGAAAAAGGAAACGTACCTTGTCATCTTTCCATCACAAATCAAGAACGAGCTCAGCTTCCTAGAAACATTTAAACAATAGTTTAGAAAAGTTTGCCCAATAACCGGCACCGCTCAAATTTTTAATAGCGAAGAATGTTACTTGTGCAAGTCAGAATCTGATACCAATTAAATGGTGACAGCTTTGCCAATAAACAAGAATATGCTCTTCCATGGCTAGGAAGGGAGACTGCCACAGTCGACAGGTCCCAAAGATACATGGAGATTCAAAATCCGAAACTGAATAGCCAAGCACAACTCCGAAAGACACCACTCACCGTCGGGGTCAAACTGGCGGTTCTCAGGGTGCCGACGCCCAGGAACAGTGACAGCAGACTCAAGATGGCCACACGACACCGATGGCGGCACTAACGACCTTGGCCGCGGCCGTCAGGTGCTCGGAACCTTCCCCCGGGCCGTGGCCCAGGCGCGCCGGGGTTTAGGGCCCGGGGCCGCACGCGGCCGCCCCGTGACCTAAGGGGCGCCGCAGTCCGGTCAGGCGTCTAAGCCGAGAGGTTTCCAAAGCTGACCCTGACCCACCGCTACAACACGATTCTCGCGTCCCTTGCATTTTAGCTAAGCCAGTCAGTTTCGCCCCAGTTATCATCTTGGCGCACAGAACACACAGCCACAAAGCCTGCGTACACCCAAGTACAGCGCTTCCCAGACGCAAAAGGCCGAGTCCCTCCGCGCACGCTGTTTTATAGCAGTGATGACGCTCTTCCGGGGGAAGCGCCGCGAGGGGCGGGGCTTAATACGCCATCTTCCGTCCTGCCCTCCCCGCAACGCCGCGGCCCCACCCTCCAGGTGGCCACGCCTCCCTGTGGCCCCGCCCTTCTCCCCCTCTACTCGTGCGGGTCCGGGCGCGTGCGTGCGCGCCACGGCCGGAACGTTCCTGCGTGACCGGGAACTCCTGCCGCCCGGGAGCTTGCGCTCGCCGAACCAGCTGCGGAGGATGCGCTGTTTCCTGTTTAACCTTGGATGGTTATTTTAGTTTAGAAGTTACTGTTGTTACCGAAACACAGGTTTGCCAGTTCTCTGCTTCTTAACCTTTTGGCAGGTTAACTTCTTAGGTCAAACTGGCTGCTTTTTTTGGTTTCCTTGCTAGTGAACTTCATCTTCCGCTGGGAGTGCTGTTCTAGAAGCGCCGGTGCCAGTGGTCGGCTTTCAGGGTTGGGTTTTGCCTAATCTCTTAAGAGTGTCTGCACTGAATACTGACAGCCTCCCCAGACGTTTCGTAAGCACAATATTGGAAAAGGAAGGGCTGTGAGGCCTGGTGAGCTTGCGGGAGGCCCAGGTGCGTGTGTTTGTGCACATTCCCCTCTTGCAGTCTGACCCACAGCTTTTTGCCCACGTCGGGCCGCTTGTGGACTCCTGAAAGCAGAACACCTGGGTCTGCACCCCCCTGCTGTACGTTTCTCTGAGGGTGCTGTTAAAGAAGCAGTAGAGCCTTGTAAAGTAGACTTTCCAACGTTTAGGAAGAGTTTTTAAGTCTTAGAAGCGTGCTTATTAAATAACACTGAAGTTTTCTGTTCTTTTTATTTTCTTCTGGTATGAAACAAACCTTTTACTTAGGCATATTGCAGCAATTCTGTCTGAGAAACAGTGGAGATCCACAGAAACTTCGTGTAGCCATTACATACTTTTTAGGGGGAGCGAATTTAATTAGAGCAAAATTTGCTATTATGGTTAGGATTGGAATGCACAAGCTTATAGGAGACATATTTTCTTAAGAGAACTAGAGTTGTTTCTAAGGCTCACCATATTTCACCCTATTGTACTTTGTCTCACTTCTTCACTTAGTTCATCTCACTGATGAACTGAAAGAACTACTCAATAGCAAGGCTTAAATACGGAATCACAGCAGGGAGTTTTGCCAAGTTATCTTTTATTTAGGATCTCTAAGTAATCATCTGTATTAGTTTGCTAAGGCTCTCATAACAAAATACCGTAGGCTGGGTGGCTTCAACAGCAGAAACTTGTTTGTTTTGTTACAGTTCTGTAGGCTGCAAGTCTGAGATCGAGGTGTCATCAGGTTGTCCTCAGGCCTTCCTTTCTTGTGTGTGGCAGGCTTCTTCCTGTATCTTAGTGTCAGATTCCTTTTGTACCTGTCTGTCTCCGTTGTCTCTTCTCATAAAGACGCTGATCATATTGGATTAGGGCCTACCCTTATGATCTCATTTAACCCTAATTGCCTCTTTCAAGTCCCCATCTCTAAGTACGGTCACATTCATAGGTGCTGGGGGTTAGGAGTTCACCATGAAATTTCAGGAGCACAATTCATCTTATAACACCATCCATTTATGCTAAGTTATACAGTCTTACTAAGGATTTGAAATAAATGTTTCCACTGGGTTAGGAAGTTAGAACAATGAACACCATGAATGAGAGTGTCTTCGCGCATGCACACTGTGCTTTTGACTACAACTTTGTGGTTTGTCTGAGACTGGACTTTAAAAATATGCCCCTTTCTACCCCATATTTTGTTTATGCTTTTTTCTCCATCTTGAATGCCTTCTCATCTATTTTTAGCTGTCAAAATTTTACTCTGCTTTCAAAGCTTTGCTCTACTATCACTTGTTCTATGAGAATTTTCATTACTTCAACCAAATTTGACTTTTTCCTTTTTTAACGTTCTGTAGTAACAGTAACTTAACTCACATTTTTCTTTTCTTTTCTTTTTTTTTTTAAACTCACATTTTTCTTGTGATATCATTATTCTAAAGTTGAGGTGAAGGACTATGTCTAACTCTTATTTGAAGTGCCTATCAGAATGACTTGCATTAAATGAGCACTCAATTGCATTTTTCAGTGCTTTGAGATACTCAATATATATTTCTGAAATTGAAAAGGTTTTATATTTATTTTAAAAAGCATTTTTCTCCAAGAGGTGGAATTTAATCCCCCTTCCTGATCTCAGCACCAGCCTTATTGTAGGCTATGCATAGTAATTTGCTTTCAAAGGGTAGAGTAAGAAAAGGGGGAGAAAGCTTAACTTTACAGTTGTGAAAAGTGGCAAACACTACCTGGTCCAGGTGGTCAATATTAACATCAGTGACAAGTCATGTTGATAGTGTGTACTCTGATATAATGTGATGAGGGCACTTACACCTTCCTCTGTGGTATTCTTCCTCAAAGCCTATACCCCAGCCTAATCATGAGAAAAAAAGTCAGACAAAATAAAATTGATAGATACTTTACAAATTACTTCACCAGTATTCAAAACTGTCTTGGTCATAAAAAAACAAGAAAAGTCTGAGAAATTGTCATACCAGATGAGATGGAACCTAATGACTAACATGTAATGTGCTATCCTGGCTGGCACCCTCAAGCAGAAAAAGGATATTAATGTAAAACTAGTGAATCTGAATGAAGTGAGGAATTTAGTTAACAGTAATGTGACAATATTGGTTTCTTAGTTGTGACAGATATAATATAGTATTGTAAGATATTAACAGTAGGGGAAATTGAAGGGAGTGTGGGAACTCCCCATACCATTTTTGCAAATTATTTTGTAAATATAAAACTTTTAAAATAAATTTTAATTTAGAAAAGCAATCATAACTTTACAATTTATTATATTTTCATTTTAGGAGAAAGTGGTACTTTAATGACAGTTTCTATCTACTGTTAGTGTAAATTTGTTTTGCTGAAATGGCAATATTTCTAAATTTGTAGGGGTTTGAGATCAAACCCAATAAATTTAGCCACCTTTCAAACTAAGGCTTTAAGTCTCAGTATATTCAGGAGTGACAATGTTAATAGATGGGAGAGTTAAAAAGTGGTTGTTAAATAAAGGTTAGTTTAAGAATTTAGAGGTGGTGTGCAAGGTGATCTGTTAGGACTGATAAGATGATGGCTGGGCAGTATTTTAACTCTTCTTTTGCTGTGTGGACTGAACAGTTTATTGTAGAATATTCTGGATAGACATTGGAGACTCAGAATGGGGTAGGGTGGGAGGAGGTGGATGATGAGAAATTAGTTAATGGGTATAATGTACAATTTTGGGGTGCTGGATACACTCAAAGCCCAGACTTCACCACTATGCAGATATATCCATGTAACAAAATTGTGCTTGTACCCCTCAAATATATACAAATTTAAAAAGGAAAAAAAATTAGAATATTAATTCTTCAACATTGCTTCTCCTTACTCTATTTCTTTTTTCCTTTTGTGGTTTTCATACAGAAATGGGTAATCCTCAGAGAAACAAATTTAACATATAACTGTACATCTCTCATATGAATGCTGAGATGTATGGGAGAAAATATAGTCAGGTAATAGCCTATAGACTTATTTTCATCTTAAAATATTATACTTAGGTAACCCAAACCTTTAGTCAGTATGTACTAGCAATGTGATACTGCTGCTAAAATGGTTTTGCTGTAATAATAAAAGTGTAGTGGCCAGAAGAAAGGAGATGAGAGTTCTCCCCTATCTGTACTGGAAGATTCTCAGTTCTGAACACTTTGTTCAGTTGTTGAACATTTTCTAGACTCTAGCAAATGTTTATTGAGCAGGCATGGCCCTTGCCTTAAGACTTTAGAATAGAATTGAGTAACTTTATGGTTAGTAATATCACAATATTTTCAAAATTATTCAGAACTCAAAGCAAAGAGATTAGTTTTGATTTCTCTCCATTCTCTATTTTCAATATTTAATGTGTTTTTAAATCAGCCAACGTATTAGTTGTCTATTTCTATGTATCAAATTGGCCTAAAGCATAGTGGCTTCAAACAATAAGCATTTATTATCTCACATAGTTTCTGTGGGTCAGGAATTGATGAGCAGCTTAACTTGCTCAGTGTCTCTTGTGAGGCTGGAGTCAGGATGTTGACCGGGGCTGCATTCATCTGAGGCTTGACCAGGGCAGGGGCTGGAGGATCCTCTTTCAAAGAAGCTCACTCACCAACCTGGCAAGCTAACGCTAATTGTTGGCAGGAGGCCTCAATTTCTCCCACGTGGATTTTTCCATAGGGGTACTTGAGTGAGCCCAGGACACTCTTGGAGTGACCCAAGAGAGGAAGCCCCAGTGCTTTCTATGGCCGAGTCTGGGAATTCACACGACCACTTGTTAGAAGCAAGTTATTAATTCCAGCCCACACTCAAGGGGAGGGACATAAAAGTGTCACAGTCAGGGTGGGCGAGGTTGTGTTGTGGTTGCAAAAGATTTGAAATCTCTGTGGCTTAAAACAACGAAGGTTTGTTTCTTGTCATGTCCATGTTCATTTTAGAGGCTGGGCTAACGAGGCCTTCACTGTTCGTGATTGTTCTAGACAACATGAAGGGAGAATGGAACGTAAAGAATCATACTCGTTCTTAAAGGCGTCCGTTCTGAGGTGGCATTTGTTACGCTGACTCGTATTCTGTGGACCAAAGCAAGCTGCGTGGCCACACCTAACCTCAAAGCCTGGGGAAATGGAGTCCTGTGTGATCAGAATGAACAGAATCGGAAATATCTGAATTTATCATTATGGGACTAATGTCTTCTACAGTTGCCAAGTTCTAACTTTTTGCATTATTTTTATATTTACCTTTTCTTTTCCTTTCCTCTGCCAATCTAAGTTCCACTGCCAATCTAAGATAACATGTCTGAGCTGTCTCCCTACCTTTCTAATTCTAATCAGCTGAGTATATTCATGAAAGATTAAATTTCCTAGAATACCGTTTTTCTCCACTTTAG